ATAATTATAGTGCTTATAACACTGATAACAGCATCAATATTGATAGCATTTGAAAAAAGGAAAAAAAAAATCTAGGAGAGGTGAAATTACGTGAGGTCACAAGGTCTACTAACTGATTCTTTGGTGGCTAAGCACTTGTAGAACATTTAAAAAAACAATGCTACAGTGAGCACTACATTTTCCCAGCAACAATTGTTTAAAATTGAACAAAAGGAAAACATTCAAATATTGCCTTGATATCACTCATTCCATCTCATATACCTGTGTATTAGATAAAAGTGCATGCATTTCTAGTGATGGTTCTGCCCTTCTTCCTAGGATTGTTTTACCAAGAAAGTGTATTTCCCCAGAAATTATACAAAATGCACATGGACTCAACTGCATTTTAGCTAGAAGTAACAGAGGATTTATCATAAGAGAAGTTTTTTACAAATAAATATACAACCATTTTGAAATTGTGCAATGTGCTATCGTGTGGATAAATTGGCAAGAGTTGAGAGTGTGGTTTCATCTTCCAAAAAAAACTAAAAGAACCATAGATTATACTGTATAGTATTCTTCCAAATACCACACATATCCTCTAGCCCTTGGATAGATGAAAGTCTGGAAGAAGAATTTGAGGGAGTGGCAAGAAGCACATAACATTTCTACCATGTATAGTACCTATGTATTATGCAAATGTTGCAAAACAAAACATAATCTGTGGTTTCTCTTCTACTGGATTGTATCCATTTGATCCCCCAGCCCCAGACTACACAAAGATAAGGACTACAGAGGGAAATGTCCCTAACATAACAATATTTGAGGAAATAGATCAAGGTAGTTAAGGCTTGCTGAGGCTAGTTTAAATAAAATGGTCTTGCTAGAATTTTGTTGAGTATACCAACAATTGTAGCCTGTACTAGTTGGCTGCTAAACCAAGTATTTTAACTTTTTGTAGAAGGTCCGTGATAACCTGCTCTGCACTATGTAGAGGTCAGTACAGATAGGCTAATCAATAAAAGATCTGAGTGGGTCCAACCTTGATTGAATTTTTGAATTACATTATTGTTTTAACAAGACATGTAAGCTCTTCACTGATGACTTGGCCTTGACAAATAACTTTCAGATTCTGATTTTCATTTCTCAAAAAGAGCCTTGAAAATGAGTAATCCATCACAATCTTTTGATGATACCTATGAGGAAATAATACCCAATATCCCCTTGATGATGGGTGAAGAAAAAAAAAAATATATATATACGCTCTGGAGATCAATGGCTTATAGTGCTTTGGTGTGCCGCCGTGGCGTACAGCCACCTGCCACAGATCGAGCAGTTTGTCATGATATATATATATATATATATATATATATATATATATATATATATATATATATATATATATATATATATATAAAATATATATAAAGTTTTCTTAGCTGGATGGAAACTAGTGCCACTACCCTACCATTGTTGGTACTTTTAACAATAATACTTTCCTGATAGGAACAAATTTTCCCTCCTGACTAAATATCAGCTTATAATACCATGGAATGTTAAAGAAAAATACTATCTAACACAAAAATAGTATTTGTGACATTGTAATAATTTAAGGAAATCTTATATTACAGTAATATCATAAGAGGTTCAATAACACAATCCATTTTTTTACACATATATTACACTTTGTATACTGAATACAAGCTAATAAAATTAATATTTTGGTGAAAAAACATTAAAGCTTAAAATTCTAACTTATTAAATCAAGGTATGGGGAATGTACATGTACTGTTCAATGAGCTTATTACTTATGATTCTTTGAGCCTTGTTGAAAAATGTATGAATGAGAATGATTCACTTCACAATACAAGGTAAACAAATGACATTTTGAGTTACATCATTAGCAGAGTTACATAATTCTGATGAAGTAATTACTGAATCACCATATACTTATCTTGGCAATATTATTTTTCCTCATCAAAGCATTTCCTAAAATCTGTTACAATGAACTTTATGTACCATATAAATAGAGGGTGACTAGTGCCTATTTATCCTTCTTGTTTTCATCCTCACTTGCTGTTTTATCTTCTTCACTCTCTTCTTCTTCCTTGATGTCCTCTAATTCTTCTCTGTCATCATATAATGGATTTTCCTCTATAATGACTGGCTCTTGCTTGTTATCTGTACCCTTGGTCTCTTTTTCCTCCATCTTGCTTCTTTTCAGCAGGCTTTTCAACTTGGTCAGAAGTTTGCTTAAGGGTGATGCCTTGTCTTCTATTTTTTTTAACACAAGCCTGTAAAAATGGACACATGCATCAATAAAATAAAACATTTGAAGGATGGAAAATGTTCTTTTTCTGTCTTGGAGGTCTGCTGTCAAGATGCTGTAGGGACTATGCTAAAAGCATAATTGGTACTTCTCAAATGAGTTGTGTCATTGTTGGTAAAATAAACGGTCCACCAAAACAAAAACAGGAGAACAATCCCCAACCACCAATTGCCATATTGCCCATTACCCCAGCCCCCTAGTCCTTACTCCCAAGATGCACCGACTTGTTGACCTCTGATGATCCAAACTGTTGCTAAAGAAAATTTGTAGATGTGGGATGGGAGGGAACCCTTGACACCAGACCTCCAAGACAGAAAAAGAACATCTTCCATCCGTTAAATATCTTATTTTCTGTCTTTTTGGTCTGGTGTATAGATACTGAATAACAACTGAATGTGTGGAACAAAATTTAGTAACTTTAAGTTAAGTGGCTTATTCATTGTCACACAAGGGACATCCTGTAGATGCAATGTCAGGTATCTATTAACAAAGGATCTGCATGAAGATCATTGACAAGTAAGAGTAGAAACATACTCCCTAACTTGGTGAGCCATAGGAAAAAACCTGGATCAGCAGATTCAATTATCCTTCTAATTCTCTTGGCTACATGAAGTTGGGAACAAGGCTTAAGTGAATCTAGCCATAACCATAATACCTCATTAAAATCTGCTGGGGTAGCTTCTATATAACATTTCAAAGCTACTACTGGGTATAAAAAATGAGAGGAATCATTTTTTAACCATGATGGAAGTACTATAGGTTCCAAAACATGTCCTTGTGGTTCATTATTTGCTAGAAAACGAGGATGAGGAGTAAATGAGACATGAATTATTTGGACCAAACTGTGTCAAAGAAGGAGAACGTGAGAGGGCTGTTAGTTGAGAAACACACAAACCTGTGCCAAGAGCAACAAGGGATACCATAAACAGAAAACATAAATTTGTTTTATGACTCAAAGGGGCAGTATTCAAAAGCCTGAATGTTCCTTGTAGTGTACCAATGTTTTATAATGGGCTTTTCCTAATAAAATTAATAAGCAGAAGAACAAAGATCAGTGTTATAAAAAATTCTTAGCATCTCTACGTGCAGCTACGTGAAAATGGTGACAATTTTTTATAACATTGATCTTTGTTCTTCTGCTTATTAATTTTATTAGGAAAAGCCCATTATAAAACATTGGTACACTACAAGGAACATTCAGGCTTTTGAATACTGCCCCTTCGAGTCATAAAACAAATTCTGTGTCTGGGGCCAAAATCACCCCTAAGGGCCAAAGTAACTCCAGTTTGCGGTATTGCTTTGTGAAGCACATCCATAGATGTATCTACAGAATACCATTGTGATGAGAGGAGATCCAGAATTTTCTGTAGAGACCATGAAGGAATATTATTAGTAGTTGGAGGTCGCCTTTGGAAGAATGATCTACAAAGCACTTTCATGGATCTTTAATCCTTTTTCTATTCCAAAGGCATATCTTAGTGGATCTGTGATTGCTGCTATATGGCAAGAAATAGTAGGTGGTGCAAGTGACTATGAATGGAATAAATAGGAAGCAAATTGAATGAATATATTTGGAGATATAGACTTAGGTCTTGTGTCTCTGATGAATTTTTGGAATTGTAACCATGCTGGTTGATACTATCTAATGGTAGAAAATCTATGTCTTTGATAAAGTCCTCTACTTGTAAAGGTTGGAAATTTTTGCTTTAAAGTTGTATGTAGAAACTCCACGCGTGTAGATACAAATATTCTGTGACACGATCCATAAGAGATCCTGGTCCTGAAGGTAGTGGGTGAGGAGACCAGTGAAGAAGATAACAAATCCATGGTTGTGCTTCCCACTGAGGAGCAAACAATAAACAGGTATATTGACTGCCATCTGTTCCCTTCCTCTAGAAAAGCATCTGGACCTCCTTCTACACTCATCTCTGATCTTGTCAAATATCTCTTGAGTCTGTGATTGGAGACAAAAAAAGATCGATCTAGTGTTTCAGAAACACTTCCTGTTCCAGAGCCTGCTCTATTGAGGATGTGCGCCAAAGCATGGAGCAGGAAGTTCCGCTACATGTAGCAGACTCCTGCCTCCAGTGTCTGGACATTGCCAGAAATCACCAGAGATTTCTGATACCTGTCGGCATTGGGTTAAGTCAACTGAAGATGTACCCCTTGTTGTAGTGTCATATGGTGTCAGACACCAACCAAAACCGGTATGGTTGAATACACTTGTTCAATTGACTTACATTGTGGATGAGTCTCGACTCTGATGAATCCTTCTTTGGTACTTCAAATAATCTGTTTAGAAATACCTTTATTCTGATCTCCTACACTACTGTATTGGCTAGTAACTTGCTGATTCTGTTTGATATTGAAGCCAAAGATTTCTGAGGGCAGAGACACCACAAAGGAGGAGGGCAACTAAATGTACACAACATGCAAATTAACAATAAAAATGCCTTGGTTACTACTTAGACAATTCTAAATCTAAATAAAAATAATTCTGTCATAAAAACTCATCTTAATTTTTTCAAAAAAATATATCAAAAGATGTACTCAAAACAATTACATACTTCTTGGTAGTGATGTTGTGAATGGGTCCAAATGCAAGAGCAACCACAGTGCAGGCAAGGCAGATGACATTATAAGGCATTGAGAAGTCTGGCGTGGGAAGACTCACAAGAAGAGTCTCAGTGTG